TTAGAGAATGAGTTGATCAATTTTATTGAGAATTGATCAAGCTCTTGATAACAATTAAGAACCAAGACCCACTCATATAGAAATTTGATTGAACATTGTGTGTGTGTGTTCATCATTCACCAAAACTAAATTACTTGACTAATAGCTCGTAATGTCAGTGGTTGTTGAGATTATTTGACATTGTTCACCTTCTTCAACTTTAGTATTTTTCCTTTAATTATGGATCTTTCTCTAAAGATTGAGTATAAGGGAGACTAGCGGTACATTAGGGCATCTAATATTTTTCGTGTGGAGTTATTTATTATGATATAGATGTAGATATAATTTCTTGAGTGCAGTTTGACATTGAGTTGTTATCTATCAAGATGAGAGTTTTCATTATAATCCAAGGAAGACTTTGGCAAAATCAAGTATCAACATTCCGTAAGACGGAGTTGGAAGTTGTCCTTCATTGGTGGAATTAGAGAAAGATTGCTTGCAGACAAAGTTGAGAGTTTTCTGGTATATGCTCAGTTAATGGCAATCGCTTAGACAAGAAATTGGTAGGATCAAGAGGATCACCACACAAATACTTGAAGTAAGTTATTGTGGATAGCGAGGTTATTGGATCAAGATCTTGAGGGATCTTATTTTTGTTAGCAGTTTAGTGTATGCATCATCAAAGGGAATTATTGTGTGATAGTTCTTTGTAACCAAAACGTTGTAAATATTTTATCAAATAATGGAAGACCGTGATTATGTTCCGATGGCATCATCCATTGGAGAGTGCACGTAGGCAAAGCAAGGATGAATGCTGAAGCACCATATATCTCTGTGTATCTTTCCTTTTCCCTGTATCTTTTACTTTACAAGTATTCATTCATATTTGTTGTTGCATCTTTGTAAGATTACATTGATTGTATAACATATATATTAGGCCATGCTTATAGCTATTTAGAGTATAAGCTTAGGTCCGTGGTGTATCAATCTTAAGGAATCATCATGAAATCAATTATGCATTGTTAAGAACATCTAAGTAATGTGTTTTTAATTCGCTTCGTTTAAAGAAACTTTGGTTTTCATGTAAGTGACTTGCACTGGAAGCAATCAATCTCATGGTATCTTCATATACCATTTCATATGGCTTGATTCATTGAGATGCTTCCAAGCTCTTGGGTTTTTGTGTTTTATTTCCACACTTCTTAAAATATTTGATTTTGTTTATAGGACCTAAAAAGTTTTTCAAATCGTCTAAAGGAAATCAGGGTATATTCAATCCCCTCTTCTAGACCTTGTTGTATCCATATTCTCACCCAACAGAAAACATGAACTTTAGAACCAGAAGAAGGATCAATTCAGCATGCAACCAACGTCGACGAACAAAATCATTGAGTTTGATTTGACACCAAAATAAAACACTCCTAGGTAAGAACATTAGAGGAAACAAAAACACTTTATTCAATGGTAGCTTACAACGAAAAAGGAAAGAAAGTGCTTCAAAAATCCTCTATACTCTATTCAAGTACCAATGACCGGAAGGTTTACCCTGCACTACCAACAATTAGAATCTTCTAAGAAACAACATAAGGCACTCGAGTATTCTAAAAAGAAGAAGAAACATTGTTGCTAGTTAGTGAGGAAAACATGTCAATCATTTATGGCGCTACATTATGACTCCCAAGAGAGGCATTAATGTGCCAATTCCCAATAACGGTAACACCCAGTCTAAGACTTCCACATCAACGGATCCCATGGTCGGACAATAATACGTGTCACAAACCCTCGCCTAAAAAAGTAGGGTCAAAAGCTTGGGTGACAATTGTTCTAGTTCGTCCGCAAGGCATATGAGGCGAAGACCCAGCTGCAAAGAAGTAAACCATAATACGAGAAAAAATTACACCTATTTTTTCCCGCATCGTAGAGTGCCCTTCACAAGAATGTCATGCTAAGCTTCCAAATCAATCCAACGGATGACTACATCATACGTCATTCCACACTCCACACACATGCAGTTATCAAACACACCTCTTAAATAAGAGAAAAACGTGTCACTGTATACAAATTTAATTCATTTCCATTCAAACTTCATGTTTCACTCTCTTACTAACTTAAGTGTTAGAAATATTAATTTTACAAATTAATATTTTTTCAACACATTGAAAACTCTAAACCACCGTACCCATTTGAAAATTCTTCCTCTTCGGTCATCATAATTTCCGAGTAGGTACAAAATAATAACATTTGATTTAAATTTAATAGTAAGTCCTTACCTTGACTAAAATTTTCTTTACGTAAATAAACTATAATATAACTCATTTTAAATTTAAAGCTAAATCTATGATCTACTTAAGTAATCAAATTCACTTTTTCTTTCTATCTATTTTTGCTTTCGCAGTAAGCGCTTACGCAATTAGGATTCGGGATCATTTCAATTAGATTAGTTCCCAATTCAGTAAAAAGAAAAAGCACCACATTTTCCCTCTAAAAGAAAGAAGAAGAAAAAAAGCCCCATTCTCAACATAAAGGGGCAAAAATAAATTAACTAAAGTTCCAGAAGAAATGAGTACTACAAAAAGAAAACCAGGGGTAGCAAACCCAGTCTTGGTATAAAAAACGATGGCCAATATAAATTCAAATTGAAGTAATAAATTGAGTCAAAAAAATGGCCAATATAAATTAATATTTTATGTTATTTTTGTGAAAAAAGCATAGATTAGATCTAATTTCAAATTTTTTTTAAAAAAGTAGTTGAATAAAAGTGTATACATAATTTTAAAATTTAAATTCTTTTTTTTAAAGTATATTACATTACTTTATTATTTATTAGTTTTTATTTTTTAATAACACTCATTAATTATTTTTTTCATACATTTTAAACATTAATAATTATTGTTATTTTATAGGATTAATTTTCAATATATTATATTTTGCAATAAAAAATATTATTTTATAATAATATTAGTAAAATTGTTTTTTTATTAAAATTATTTTCCAATAAATAATTTTTAATATTAATAAATCTTATTGTAATTTCAATTTAAAAATTAAAAGAATAGACTTCATTTAATTTGATTGTTTTTGACTTTTAAAAAAAAAAAGTCACACAAAGAAAACTATACCACGTAATTTATTTTATAAATTAGAGAATTTTAGATTTCAAAACCCATTCAAACTACAAACCTTCTTGACTGTCTTATAAATTTAATAGTATTTTTTTATTTGTTTGAGATGTTACTTAATTTATTACTATGACTATGTGATTTTTGTCTGAGTAAGTTGTTGAGATGAAGATTTGATTAACTAGTGTAATAATTTTAAAGAGATTAATTGTTATACTATTTCAGTGTAATATGTTGTTCACTGTTAATTATCATAACCATTGGTTGATATTAACTAGTTAGAAAAAAATAAGTTAAAATATTTAAATAAATTAGCGGTTAATATCAATTAAATTCTAATTTAAATTATAAATAATCAAATAAAGAGAAAAGAATAATAAAGAAAGATTGACTTGTTATCTGAAATTAAATTAATAAATTATGAGACATTTTATCAATATTTCATAATGCTTGCGTAGTAGATTAAGTTAATATTTTACTATTTTATAAATTTCAATTATATTATATGTAATAGTTGAGTTAAATAAAATTTAATAAATTATTAATTTATAATTTAATTTTTAAAGACAACAAATAAATTTATATATTAACATAAATAAATTGTTAATATTTATAAATTAATAATTTAAAAATTATTAAATTTATAATCGGTTATTTCCTCGACAAATAAAAAATAATATTATTCTATAATGTTATTATATTAATTTATACTAATATATTTTGAATTTCGAAAAAAAAAGTTTTAAATGCATTTTTAAATTCATTATTCTTTAGTGAATTTTTGAGTTTAATCTCTTTAATTTATTTATTTTTTTCGAATTCCTATATCTCATTTTTTAAGGTACCCTTGACTATCCAACCCGATCTTGGTTTTGATGAGATATAGCTGGAAAGTTCATCGAAGACAACTTCAAAGTATGGATACAAGAATGGCTTAAGAAAAAATTCTGGAAGTGGAGAGTGTATTAAGAAGAAACCCTAGGACGATCTTAAGTCAGAATTAACTGGTCATGCTCTGAAATGTTCGACTGTGAGCATCGTCTCCACTTGAAATCAATATTCCTGCACAAACTTGTTAGTAATAAAAAGCACGCACACGAAAACCACATGACCTAAAGATGTTATGTGAAATGATGCATAAAGAGTGTGATCTTAGATTCAAAATTAGGATATGACAGATGCTCCTATTTAAGTTTCTTCTATTCGAAAATATAGAGATCAAATTCCTATATCTCACTTTTTACATTCATTTTAAACCTAAAATCAAAATTCGCATGAAAATTGAAAGAAAATTCCGCAAAAAATCTGTCAATTTTTCTGTATATTTTGACTTTAAAAATTAAATTACACGCAAAAAATGAGATATAAGAATTTAGAAAAAAAAATAAATAAATTACCAAAAAAAAACTCAAAAACTCGATAATTTATATGAATCAATTGACTATTTAAGAAAAAATAAAACTACAAGCTAAGTGAAACAGCAAATAGTTGTAATAATTAAACCGGATAGATTTTTATTTTAAAACAAACAACACTGCTGTCATAGGTAGTAAACAAAACCCACACATATAAATCCACACCAACAAAATTCAGTTAAAAAACATAAAACAGACAACAAAAGATACCGTAAAGAACAAACACACACCCTGTTTCCAACCTGGAAAGCCATTTCCCCTTATTTCCTCGCTCCTTCAAATCTCACACACAATCATGAGTAGTTGAGTGCTCACTTTTTGTAACCATTATTAAAAAAATATTAATTAAATTATCCTACGCGGTAAAAAAATTGTCTTTTTTCCCTATGCTGTTCTATAAATACACATCGCACACGGTTTCCAAGTTTTCCAACTAAAAAAAGCTACATATAGCCCCAACACAATTGAACTCGCTAAAACATCATTCATGGGTAACTGTTCTTCGTTCGATTCGTCGCAGGTTGAAACAGCTAAGGTTGTCGTACACGACGGAACTATGAAGGAATTCTCGTACGCCGTTAAGGTTTCTTATCTTTTACAATTATACCCCGGGTGTTTCATATGCGATTCTGATGAAATGGGATTTGACGACGTCGTTGTAGCCATGCATGAAGATGAAGTTTTGATACCTGGACAGCTTTATTTCGCTTTGCCTTTGGACCGGTTGAAAAAGCCGTTACCGGTGAGGGAAATGGCTGCGTTGGCCGTGAAGGCTAGCTCCGCGCTTAATGAATGTGGTGCCGGAGAGAAAGTTGGGTTTCGACGGAAACGGATTGTCATGTTTTCTGGTGAAGGGAAGGGGAAGTCTGCTCGGCGAGTGTCGCCGGATGTTTCTGTTAGTGTTGGTAGGTCGAGGAGCAGGAGAAATTTTGGTGGCGGGAGAGGGAAGTTTGTGGCGGAGTTGAGTTGTATACCGGAGTAGGGGTAGTTTCGGAAGAAAAAGATTGTGTTGTATATATTCTCAAAAAATTAATTAATTAATTTGTAAGATTGTAGAGATTTTTCTTTAACATAGATGAGATTAAATTAGTTGAATCAGATCCAGTTATTTCATATTGTTTATTTTCGATTTTTTTTCTTTGGAATCTAGCAATTTTAAACATGGAATCAGAAATTGATATAGCAAAAATGATTCAGACAATTGATTGAATCTGCGGTGATTTTGTTTATTAATTATGGTAGAAATTCATGTTGAGATGAAAGCTGCTTATGGTGGCTTTTTTTCTTTTTTTTTTTTGGAATGGAATGACATTGAATCGCGTAAAAATGAAGCTAGAGTCGGATTCAAACATACTATTGTATTTTAAGATACTTTTATATTAAATTAAAATGAAAAGATTTAAATTATAACTTTATTTTATAGTTTTTAGAATTGATTATTTTAAAGATAAAATTTATTGTTAATATTATGGAAAGATATGCAATCATACCTATTACTTTTACATATATAAATCAATTTTATTTTTTCTAAAAATATAATCAAACATACAATAAATTAAGAGGGAAATATATCAATCATTACATGAAAAACTGGGTGATAGATCTACGTTAATAACATCAAATAAACAATCAAAGAAAGATGAACATAAAACAGCTTTTCTTCATATCCTCTTAAGAGGCAAAGCTTACAATATAAATACTAGGGTTTTCTAATAACTATCATGGGCCAACCTAAACATTATTTAAGACCCATTAAAGAGAAAGTTACTAAAGACACCTTCACTTAATATTGATAAAAATCCTTAAACCAAAAAGGCTTTTTCTTTTCCCTACTAGATTTATTGGGCTTGAATCCTTGGGGCTTATCAATACCCCCTAATTCGATGGGAACCTTGTCCTCAAGGTTCAAAGGTGGATTGGGCCAGGTAACACTGGGTTGATGGGCCCATGAAGCAGTATGGCCCGTTGTAGGAGAAGTGGGAATGGGCTGTGAGGAATTACTTTTGTGGGTCCACGTAACATAGGAATCTGAAGCATTGGGTACGTCTGGCATATATGAATTGGAAAGAGGAAGTGTGGTACAGCTGTGAGGGTTGGGAACCGAAGCGTGACAGCTGGGGCGGTGGAGAGGTATTGGGCCCCGCGAAGCATTAATGTGGTTTGGGGAAAGTGAAGGGTAATCACGTGGTGGGTGGGATTTTTCAGGATAATGGAGTACACGTGCAGGAGAGTTTGAGTTCCCAAGTGTACTTGGGTTGGACTGAGTATAAGTAGGCTTAACCCTAGCTTGCATGTTCTCTGGTTTGTGCAAAGTGTCACCGCCGCTCTGAGAAATTGGTTTCCCACTTTTCACTTGAGGTTGAACCGTAGATTGCATGTTCATCGGTGGCTTACGAGATGCTGTTGTCTTCACCTTATCACACAGCTTGGTACTTTGGTGCTCATGTTCGTTTTCGGTCATCAACGATGCAGGTAACTTGAATGGGTTTGGATCTGTTGTGGGTTTTTCTTGTTGATTTCCGTCGTTTGATGATTGTGACTTAACCACGGTTGTATTCTGTGTTGTTTTATCATGCAGGAAGATATTCGAAATGTGTAAGGGAAGATCCATTGAATGGTGGTGGTTCGTCTTGCCAAAGAAGGGCCGAAGGAGCGATACATGCACAATAGGGTGGATGCGCGAAGATGAAGGGAGATCTAGTTCATAGGCCACTTGTCCCACGCGGCGGACGATCTTGAAGGGTCCATGGAAATATTTGGAAAGCTTCTGGGATGTTCGCTTCGTCACCGTCTGTTGACGATAAGGTCGCAAGTGAAGAAGTATCAGGTCGCCGACTTGAAAGGTAACGTCCACCCTTTTTTTGTTAGCCTGATGCTCCATTTGTTTCCTACTTCTGTGTAAGTTATTTTTGAGCTGAATCAAAATTTCTTTGCGACGTTGAAACGAGGTATCCAAGGAAGTGATGGTGGCAGAATCCTTTATGTAGTCCGGAATAGATGGTGGTGGGCGGCCGTAGAGAGCCTGGAAAGGTGTCATCTTGATAGCGGAGTGATATGTTGTGTTGAACCAAAGTTCCGCCAGATGCAAGTATTTGAACCAAAGCTTGGGATGGTCGCTAACAAAACACCGTAAGTATGTTTCTAAGCATCGATTTACAACTTCTGTCTGTCCATCGGTTTCTGGATGGTAAGCCGTACTAAACTTAAGTTTTGTCCCCTGGATTTTGAACAGTTGTTTCCAAAACGAACTCAAGAACAAGGGGTCCCTGTCCGAGACAATTGATTTGGGAATACCGTGTAGACGACAAATCTCAACAGAGAAGCGCATTGCCAGATCCTGTGCTGTATATCGAGTTGGAAGCGCAATGAAGTGCACATACTTTGTAAGACGGTCACAAATAACCCAGATTGCTGTGTGACCGAAGGAATTTGGAAGATGAGTTATGAAGTCCATGGTAAGTTCTTCCCACACCTGATTTGGTATTGGTAACGGCTGCAATAATCCCTTTTTTTTTGTAGTTTGATACTTGCTTTGTTGACAGATGATGCAGTGTTTGATGAAGTCTTTAACTTCGGTGTGTAATCCTGGCCAAGCAAAGGATGTAGCGAGTCTAGCAACTGTAGGTTTGACGCCTGAGTGACCTGAAGCTGGTGTGCTATGAAACTCTTCAATGATTGCCAGCCGTAAATGAGGAAAGGGTAAGTAAAGTTTTTCTTTGAAGAACAGTAGTCCCTTAGAAAACTTGTAGTCTGTCTTGTCCCCTTGAGTTGTAGTTTGCACTAATTGTTGTCCTTCCCAATCTGTGGCATAGTAATGGCGGAGGTGATTGAGTAGATCGGGAATGGAAGACGAGAGAGCCAGTAGAATGGGAGATTCTGCAGCGGAAAACTTGCGGCTTAAGGCATCTGCTACAAGGTTCGATCGTCCAGGTTTGTAGAAAATTTCGAAATTGAACCCTTGAAGTTTTGAAGCCCATTTTTGTTGTTCTGGCGTCTGAATTCTTTGCATTAGGAGATCTTTCAAACTCTTTTGATCTGTGTAAATCTGAAATTGTTGGCCAATTAAGTATTGACGCCATTTTTTTACTGATTCTGTTACAGCATACATCTCACGGACATAGACAGAGCTGGATTGCATACGGGGGCACATTTTTTTGCTGAAGAAGGCGAGGGGATGGCCATTCTGAGAGAGGACGGCACCAATGGCAACTCCGGAAGCATCGGTCTCTATGACAAATGTCTTTGTAAAGTCTGGCAAAGCCAGGACCGGCATGTCGGTCATCTTCTTTTTCAATTCTGTAAAGGCCAAAGCAGCTTCTGTACTCCATGAAAACTTAGTAGAACGCAATAAATCGGTGAGAGGAGCGGCGAGAGTGGCGTAGTGGCGCACAAAGCGTCTATAAAAACCGGTGAGGCCGAGGAAACCTCGCAATGCCGTGAGAGAACGTGGGACAGGCCAATCCATTATGGCTTGAATTTTTTCTGAATCTGCAGCAACACTACCATCTGATATAACATGACCTAAATAATTCACCTTGTTAACTGCAAAAACACACTTTGAAAATTTGGCAACAAAAGAATTGGATTGTAAAACATTTAAAATGATATCTAAATGGACCAAGTGATCACTCATGGAAGAGCTAAAAATGAGTATATCATCAAAGAAAACCAAAACAAACCGTCGAAGGTAGGGTCGTAACAGTTCGTTCATAGCGGATTGAAAAGTAGATGGTGCATTTGTTAGGCCAAATGGCATAACTAGGAACTCATAGTGACCATCAAAAGTGCGAAAGGCTGTTTTATGCGTATCTTCCGATGAAACGCGTATTTGATGATAACCTGAACGTAGATCTATCTTAGTAAATATTGATGCATTACCCAACTCATCTAAAAGTTCATCAATAGTGGGTATAGGGAAACGGTCTTTGACTGTAACTGCGTTTAAAGCGCGATAATCAACACAAAATCGCCAAGTGCCATCCTTTTTTTTGACAAGAAGGACAGGAGAGGAAAAGGGGCTGTTACTAGGGATAATGATGCCTTCCCTTAACATATCCTGAATGAGAGAGGTCATGGCTTCTTTCTGGGAGTGTGGGTATCTGTATGGTTTAACATTAATTGGTGCGGTAGATGGAAGTAGGGGAATACGATGGTCATATGGTCTAGCGGGTGGAAGGCTGAGGGATCCGTGAAAGACAGTTGGGTATTTTTTTATGATGTTGTCAATGTTGGGGTCGAGTGGGGAATTTGTGGTTGGAGAAACGTGTTGTGGTGCGGATTTGGAAGGTACTGATTCGCATGAGTGTTGAAGTTCGATTTCTGGGTCAGAAGGTAGGAAGGTCATGAGGTGGAGGGACGCAATGGAATCAGTATGAAGAAGGTGACGAAGTTGGTGAAAGGTGGTTAAGGAGGGTAGAGTTTTTGGGTCACCTTTGAGGGTAATTAGTGTATGTTGGTGAGTGAAGGTAATAGAAGGAATGGAAAAATCAGCATTGATTGGTCCAAGAGTGCGTAGCCATGCCATGCCTAAAACAACATCAGCACCCTCGATTGGTAGAAGGTAGAAGGGAAGTGAAAAGGGCTTGTTTTGTAGGGTGAGTGTGACGTTATGACAAATGCCCTCACATTGGAGATGCGATCCATTTCCAACCATGACTGAAAATTGGGGAATAGGTGTAGTTGGGAGATGAAGATGGTTGGCAATCCTTGGTTGAAGGATGTTATGAGTGCTGCCTGTATCGACTAGGACCATAACGTCAAGTCCTCCAATCAGGCCTTGGAACTTGAGTGTTTGGGGTGAAAACTGGCCTGTTAGAGCTGTCGCTACTGCGAAAATCGGCGCCGGCTGAACAGAAGAGTCGCCACCGCGCGTTATTTATCCCACGGGAGGGAAAGGAAACGCTCAGAGTAAACCTCGCACAACACGGGAAAGGTATGGTCATCGCAACCAAAACCTGGATTCGGGAGTCGGTTACGCAAGGG